TGCCGTACAGTTCTAACACGAGGCCACCAGAGCTTCTACACACGTATGCATAAAATAAACCTCACTGTTATCAAGTCAATCTTGACTCACAGCAACCCTGTAAGACAGAGCAGAACTGGATTTCAAGACTCTACATCCTAACTGCAGAAGGGTATCTCCTCCTCCTATTGTGGAGAAGCTAGTGTTTGAACCACTCACCTTCCAGTTCGCAGCTGGATGCTAAATGCACTGCACCACTAAAGCGCATTCGAACTGAAACAGACCTAAAACCAAAGTCACCGTCACACAGTGATTCTGACCACAGGGACCTGGTTCTCAGAAGCTGTAAATCCCAACCAGAGGAGAATGCCCGTTTTTGCCCCACAGAGCAACTAAAGGCCTTGAACTGCTGACCTTCGGGTTAGCAGCCTGATGTAAAACAGTACCCTCTAAAAAGGGAAACATATACAACAGCTTTAACTTAAAAACCAGGCTGCTTGGTTTCAGTGGTCGAGTCTGTGCACTGCGTGCTGGCGCTGGCTGCTTCCGAGTCGGTCCTGAGTTAGTCAGTACTCGAAGTTGGAAGTGCTTTTTAAGGTTATTATGAAACAATGCATTTCATGGAATCTAGAAAGCCTTCTACTGTAGGATATATCCTGCCTTCAGAGGTAAAAGAGAGGACAAAAATGTGCTTTAGAAATAATGAACTAGAGCATGACTCACAGAAGAGCTCGTTCTAATTTTGTGTATGAGACCTCCGATCTCCCGGGCGGAGGACCACTTTTTATAGAGCATTCACTGTCTCACGTCCTGTTCGACAGAAGCCACAGCCACACATGTCACAGGGACCACACAGCAACCAGAGAGCCAGGGAGGCCTCCCTTCCACCCTGCGCCCTGAAACGCACGTCACTCTCACTCGTCAAACTTGGGGTGCTGCTATGATGGTCTAACTCGGGTCTATGCAGCTTCCTGTTGGCGTCACCACCTCAGTGGGGTGACTGCTCCGAAAGGGCCCCGGTGGCTGTTCTGTGTGAGCCTCATCAGATGACGTTCCTAGTACCCCCCAAAGGGCCTTAGATGCTCCAAGCTTGCCAGTGCTGCCTGACCTGCCCTCAGACTCTGAGTCGAAAGGACACCTGTTCAAACCTGCTGCCTGGTGAAAAATGCAACAGCTCTTAATGATGTAAGACTGTATCTTATTTATGCAACCTACACAGCAATCAGGGAGGGCTGGCATAATTAGACTGTGCAGAAGGAATCATTGCTGATTAAGAGTTAGAACTGGTTCCTATCAAAGTGAGCTTTAAGGGAACGCTGATGTGGTACAGAGTGGTGTAGATTTGGGGTATCAACGCAAAGGCACATGGTTTGAATCCATCAGCTGCTCTATGGGAGAAAGACAGGCAATCTCCCGTGAAATTTACTGCCTCTGAATGCCCACCGGAGGGCCAGCGATGAGCCAGTTGACTTGAGAGCACACAGTAACAACAAGGTGAGCTTGCAGGAAGAGCCCCTGGGCCCTGGGGCAGCACCAGGAGCCCATGTGTCTGTGAGGTCGGGCAGGGAAGCAGCGCTGGCCTCTCCTCCTCTCTGGTGTGGTCAGGAGGCAGGGGGCACACACTACCCACCCTGTGGGCAGCCAGCCATCCAGCTGACCGTACCCCAAAGCGCTCAGCAGGGGAGATGTGCTTGCACGGAGTTGGGGGCAGGTTTTGCTGGACGCTTGTTTGTAGGAGTCTCGTCAGCACTACGGGAAGTCTGGTGGTGGAGTCTGAAGGGAGCTGAACTCCAAAGGCCCAGCCTCTCCAGTGGTTCAAATCCACCACCAACTCCAGGAGAGAAAGACGGGCAGTCACGCCCATGAGGATGGGACCTTGGAAACCTCATGGGGCAGTTCTCTGTCTTACAGGGTCACTGTGATGCAGGACGACCTGATGACAGCGAGGTGAACGCTTCTACCCTCCTGCGTGCAATCAAGTGGCCTCCCACCTGCCTGTCATTCTGCAGAATGAAGGAATGTAAGTGCACACGGAGGAACGTCACGGGAGGGGTCAGGCCGGGTCATGACGGAGCACAAAGGCTGCGGACTCAGCGAGGTGGGCAGAATCCTGACAAACTACAGCAACCTCATAAGCACTTTCCCTGCGACCCACGGGTGGCACGCTCCTGCAGAACCTGCCGTCCACCTGACAGGCATCGAGTCAAGAAGCCATGGCCGCTTATTTATACGGAAAACATGGTGTGAGTGTTCAAAGGTTCTATCAAAATACCTTACCAGTCATCTCAAATAACACACATAAAACCAAACTCACACTAACGAGTGCTCACGACCCAGCTCAAGGCTACGGCAGCCTGATGCGGAGTGTGGATCCTGGAAAGGAGCCTGGGGACCTCTTCTTGCTACCTGGGATACACTAAATGCCAGTTTTGCTTTTGTCTTTTCTCATGAAAGCAAGAATTTTCTTTGCATTTCGTGTAGTTAGCGGGGCCAGGCATTACGAGCCAAGTCGTGTAGATTGGGTTTTCAAAACGCGAGAAGACACTTGCATAGAGCCCACAAAACAAAGGGAGGTGATGGGCGTCACCACTTCCAGGGCTGGATTCACAGCGCGGCCCCGGACGCTGGACCGAGGCAGCGCTGTGGTCAGAGGGGAAAGTGGTCACTCAGGAGAGGAGTCACTCCCGCCCTGGACCAGAGCAATCAGAGTGGACAGTTCTAAGTGGATGCTGCGTCCAGGCTTACAAGGAGATGAGCCCCTGGGGGAACATAGCACCCCTGGTCCACAGGTCAACCATGGCTGGAAGACAAGGCCACTGATGAGGCAGGGAACCTCAGGGGTCCGGCTGGGGCCGCCGTACAAACAACAGCCCACACTGAGGCCTGGAGGACTGCGTCTGAGGCCCCAGGGTCTCACCTTCCCCGAATCTGGTTTTGGAATTGCAGCCTGACCCCAGGCGCCCGGTGCCCGGGGCAGCCTCACCTTCAGCCGTGCCTGAGAGCCCGTCAGCTTTGAAGTTGCTGGTGCTTTTCTTCCTCCGATGCTTCTTTCTGTTGGCGTGAGGAGAGGGGGGTGGGTCGAGCTTGGGGCTGGTGGTGCTGGGGATACTGGGGCTGGAACACACGGAGTCGCCCAGCCCTGTGTCTGTAACGGACGGAAAAGGCAAAGGTCAACACGCTCACAAAATGCGGACTTTGCACAAAACCATTACTGTTTCCCAACAAGACATAAAGGTGGGCTGACAGCGTACGGCCATGGGGTCACCATGGAGCCCTGGCCGCTCGGAAACGGGGTGTGTGTCTGTACACACTGCAAGAACTTAGGGCTCTACACTTGGCAGGACGGAGAAGGGCGACGTTAGGGGCTCTGGAAAGACACCACGGTGAGCTCATTCTCCCCATTTTTATGTTTTCTCTTCCTATAATATTAGACTCAGGAGAGAAAAGAGTTAAGAACGTATATGAGGGAGGGACTGGAGAGCATTATGCTGAGTGAACGAACTCAGTCCCACAAGGATAGATATTGTATAAAACTGTTACTGTAGAATGAGTACAAGGATCCAGGAGGGGTGGGAGGGGTGGACACAGAGGGATGAGGATGTGCAGGGGGAAGTGGGGAGGGGATTAGTCATTGGGTTGTACAGTTTGATGTGATGGGGGGTTAGGGAAATTGAAGGAATTTGTTCAGGTTTGTATTTAAATTTTGTAAATAAACTAGTAGAAAAATAAAAAAAAGAACATATATGAAAGAGGTCCCATCAATGTACCTGATGGTGTGTTTGTGTGTGTACACCTATCTATATGATGGTACGGACATGGGGAGACAGTGTGTGTGCGCGTACACATATATGTATAAAAATATTGACATGTGGCTAGGTGTGTGTGCGTTGAGTACATGGACACCTGTAACAGTATGGACATGTGTGTACAGTGTGTACACATGTGAGAGTCTGCGTGTGCACCTACTGCATACCAGCACAGACAAGTGGGTATAGTGTGTGAGTACATGCACACCCACGACAGTGCGGATGTGTGGATGTTGTGTGTGCATGAGGACGTGAGCACACCTATCACGGTACAAACACAGGGATGAAAGCTCAGTGAACCCACGCCAACGCCCCTGCTGTCAAGTTGGTTTCGATCCAGCGACCCTCCCCCGGGTTTCTAAGGCTGTAAATGCTCACGCGAGGACCCTGCTCACTGTCAGTTCTTTAGAGCTGCGGGAGGATTCAAACTACGCATCTTTGGGTTAACAGCACAACACATAATAACAAATCACCAGGGTTTTCTAAAAGCACTCCCCTATCTGGGAGAATGCACTCCAGGACCCACAAGGGAAGACTACTTCACGTCATACAGAATACAGCATGTACTATCTTTTGTCCTGTTGTTGCTGTTGTTGTTCTGTGCTGTCCAGTCAGAGCTAGCCCATAGCTGACCCTCTCGTATGGTTTCAGAGGCTGTAAACTGCACGGGAGGAGACTGACCGTGGAACAGTGGGTGGATTCGGAGCACGTGCCTAAGGGATCGTAGCACACCTTCTTACCACTAGGCCATCAGTTCCCTTCCATTTTGTCCTCTATACACACAGGACACAGTTATAGGTCGGTTCCAACTCTATCATGCACAGCGACATCCGTACACACATGGGGGTTCAAATCCTTCAGGCGCTCCCAGGGAGAAAAATGGGCAGTGTCCTCCTGTGTGATTGACTGCCTCCACATTACACAGGCGCAACGATAACATATGATGGGTACTCAGTGTCCCGTGTGGGCAGTGTGACCCCAGGGGACCCAGTGCGGACAGTGCTGCGGTGTTTCCCATGCTCACATCCAGGGGAGGAGGCCTCCGGCTCGAGGATGGCGCAGGACCGTGTAAGCTCATGCCTTCCTGCTCACAAGCGTGTGGGATTTCAGTGTTTCTGGACAGGTAACCTAACCACAGTTAAGGGAGTCCTGAGTGGACATTCGTGTCCTTCTATGTCCAACAGTCACCTTCAGCTGTAACCGCGTAACTATTAGTAAAAATACTACCCTGAAAAAAAAAAATACTACCCTGTTCTACCCATGCTCATAAAGGTGTTTTAGAAACCAATATAGTAGACCTGTCATTTAATTTTTTGTCAATTTTTGTTTCTTGGAATCTACTTATGAAAAGTTTTAGAACCAGTGCACAAAAGTGATAACTCACTGTCATTAAAATGATGACCTAACTGTGCCCTCACTGATTGTTATCAAAGAGGCGCTACACGATCAGGAACAAATGTGCCAACAACAGGAGCAGAAAGCGGCGCACAAAGGGGACGAAGAGACGCAGAGGCAGGCGCCCACTGTGGACCCTCTGGGGAGACGCGCCCGACGTCAGCGACACAGGCGGTACGTGCCTGACGTCCCAGGGCTCCTTATTTCATGACTCGGCATCCGGGGCATCAGAAGACAGAGGGCTTTTACGATTTTTTTTTTT